GGTCACTGGTTAGTGAGGAATGTTTAGGTAAGGAGATCCAGATCTACCAGCAGATTTTGTATAGGTTAACTCAGCCTAGAACAGTTAGATATTTCCTGGACTATTAAGTCAATTAATTATAGTGTAGTTTTCAAAATGGTCCTAATGCCACAAAATGATCTATGATGGAAACAACCTGGAGAAGTTATCCTATGAAAGACAGGGGATCATTTCATTCATTTCACACCACAGAAATCAGGTATAAAATTTGCTTATGGGTAATTAGTCTATACAATTGTAGCTTACATCTGAAGACAATGTGTATAATTTATGTCTATCGTTACTTGATCAAGATTACTAATCTGGCTACTTAACTGTGTCCAATCAATCGTCACTTTCTCTGTGTGTTTTTGTTCTTAGCTCCAAGAATAGAAAGGTTGTTGTGTTTATTTTTTGATGGTTTCTCTTGATAAAATGGAGAAATTGATTGAGAGTGTACCAGTGTTGACAGAAAGGGAACATGTGATAAATACGGGTCTTGTTTTGAAAGAAAATTGTTCGCCATATAGATAACAGGTCCACATCCTAAACTCTAATTCTTTGTTTTTCAATAGTATTTCTCGTCAGGATATTAGGCAGTTACATTTCATACTATAGCTAATCCTGACCCACTAGCCATTTTCAAACAAACTGAAGGCCTATTTCTAAGAGACATTTTCTGTTTTGTCTGCTCTTAATTCTCAATACTAGCAAATCATGTTTCAAGAACTCTCAACAATGACAAAAACATTTCCTTAAAGCAGGGATATGAATTCCACAAATTTGCTTGTTATTTTCAGTATCAAATTCAAATGTTCAGGATAAAAATCGTGACAATTTTAAGATCATTGTTTCTTTGTTATGCTAATTAATCTTTATTTCATTCTGGATAACTAAGGCCTGTTGTACTTGATTCTATACGCCTGTTGCACGATATGTTGAGTATTTTTAGGTCACCTGAGACAAAGTCTCAAGTGACCTATTGCGATCGCCTTTTGTCCGTCGTCGTCCGTCATGCGTCCGTAAACAATTTACATTTTCGACTTCTTCTCCAAAACCCCTGAACCAATTTCAATGAAATTTTGCAGGGACCTTCCATGGACAAAGGTCAACAAAAATAGTTGCCGGTTTAGTCCTAAGCCCCCAGGGGCCTGAGGGGCGGGGCCAAAAAGGGT